GCCCAAAACGTTGGCACTTGAAACATCTTTTGACATTAAAGTGCTCAGTGATAAGGTGGCCTTGCCAGCCGATGTAGATGCGAGGGTTGCACATGAAGGTTTGATATGCCCTTGGGCTGCACTCGGCAACCCACTTGACATTGCGTCGCTGCTTTAGACGAAATATAAGTTTAACTTCGTCACTAGTGAGGCCAAAGTCTTCTTGTATGGTAAGCTGTAAATCCTCCTGTGTCAGATCTGGGGATAAATTATGAATTGCAATAAGGGGTTTTTTTGTTGTGGGATTCTTTACGTTAACAAATGTAGCTGCGTGATCAGACGTTAAAGTAGCTGCTAATTTTTTCCGATCTTCTTCCGACTGGCAGACCACCGCCAATCCACCCCGTTGGATAGGTTTGATCCGTTTAACTTGGACTCCAAGTTTCGGCAAAGGAAATTCCTGGGAAAGTTTATCTCTAAGCTTCCTGCTAGTTGTGTTCTCTTTTGGATATATTAGTAAAGTAGGTGTAAGAGCTGGCGGAAGGGATTGCTGTAATGCAGATGCGTAAGAGTGTCCAGGAGCTGGAGAAGGCAAAGCAGAGGGATTTGGAACTAAAGGAACTTGCTGCAGAGATGAAATAATAGGTGGGTTATGAATAACTTCACAGCAGACCACTGTTGATGTATTCACCTCAGCCTCAACTGTGGCTGGTTTCGGGATGTAATCCGGGCCCTGAAGAGCCAATTGCCGTAACGCATCCAATGAATGGAGCAATTTTTCTCGTGGTTCGAAAGGAAGTGTATACTTTCCTCCTCGATAGAGAGTTGCAATGGCACGAATATGATCGTATAACAAATTAACTTTGTCACTATAATTGTTATCAGTTGCAAGCAATGCAGTAGGATCAAAGTTGTCATTCACTGGGTCATCCGTAAACGAAACTGATTGTTGAGGCATAGCGATGCGTGAATATTACATAAGCTCACACTAGGTAATTAATTTCCCATAAGAAACAGACTGGTATAATATAATTACAAATGACGTTAATATGCTTTATATCAGTAAAACATAATGAATGTTCAATATAAACAGAGAAATAATATATTATTATATAAAATAATATATAATCAATCAAAAATATGTATACGATATGTAAAGGCACACAGAAAAGGCTCAGAAAGATATAACACAGTTAAAATAACAGTAAACAGTCTTAAAAACTATGGAGAATACACTGTAAGGAGTTTGTCGAAATTGCACTCGACGACGTGAAGGAGTTGTGTCGAAATTCACAACGTTTCGACAAAATCAAGTATCATGTTTAAACTAGTATTCCGAGCCCAATGAACAGACCCTTTGGTGTTACTAGCATATTTTATAAAGTTTCAGACAGCAATCAGAAAATTAAGTTTATTTGGGTCCAGATTTTAGCTAGGTTCCAGAAAAGGTTAGTCTTAAAATACTAATATCGAAGATAATGCAGTTATAGCCATATTGAAAATATAATATAATAGTATATGAAGAACTTACCAATTTGCCGAAAACCCGGTAATCCTAAGTGCATTAATTACGAAGATATTGATTTTTGAAAAGAAATCACAGATTTCTGGACTTAGAATTTTTTCGACGGACTTCCTAAGCCTAGTACGGCAACCACGTGGTGGCCGGGCGGCACCCTTCCGTTACAAGGACGGCATATGAGGTGAACAAAATTATTGAACACACTTTTTCACAAATTTTTTGAAAACTACGATGCACACATACTAATGCGATGTATCCTTGGATTCAGCTCACATTCACGCACAATTTGATTTATCACACGCACTTCGCACTGTGAAACTTCCACTTGAAAAATCGAAAAATAGCAGGAGCGCAACGCAGCGTGGTCAAAGAATCTGTAAGGAAAAGAATGAAAGCTTCCATAGACGCAATGTAAACCTGTTTCGCCTCTGCGCCGCTATATCGAGGAGACACGGCTATGCAGTGAAACAGCAGCGCAGGGTGGAATTTAAATAGCGCAGTCCGAGGAGATAGTAATGTTTTTTACTTTGAAATTCCTCAAAATGCTTTATTTTCATACATTTCAGATAAATTGTGTAGCTGATCTTTTATCTTCTAATCTTTAATCGTCTAGATGTTTCGCATAGAACATCCTAAAATTCAATTGCAAAATAAATGAATAAATAAAAATAAATTTTATTATTTTTATATTCCTTATTTTTCCCCTTAACCCTTCTTTCTGTAAACTCACATAATTGTTATTCTTTTGATATAATATCTAGCATTAATTTATAACTAACATCAGAATTAATAGAAAACAAAATTAACTACTGCCGTGGATGTTAGATTTCTAACAAATCTGCAATTAATTACATAAATAACGCTATTTTTCTTTTCATATTCAAGCATATTATTAAATATTAAAACAAAGAATAACACATTTGAGGTAAAAAAAAATGATTTTTATTGACATTTCTCAATTTTCAGAATATACATATGCAAAATAATTTTAAGCATCTTCACAAATACCAAGAAATTTTTTAGACAATTATTTGGAATGACCATTATGAAAACAATGAGCAAATTTTGCAGCCAAGAACCAAAAGCATTTCACTTAAATTAACAAATACAAAATTACACTTAAAAGGCCTTTTAAAGAATTTCACATAAATTATTAAAATAAGTGATTTCATTACTTTTTCATAAAATATTCAATACTTCTTACATTTATTAATATAAGATTAAATACTGAACTTGAAAATCAAACCTTCCAGGTGTTATTAAAACCTGGGAAGAAATTTTATAAATAATCCACTGAATCAAATAAATACTGTTGCAGCTCATCCTGATGAAGATTATTTCAATTTATGAAATTAGAAACTGATTTTTTTAAATAGCAATTACAAAAATGACTATTTTCCATCTTTACTATACATATAATAATTCTAAAAATGCTGTAGCTTGGATTTTACATAATTTTAATTTTGCAAAAATCTGTTTAATCCCGAATTATTCGACCAATGAGTACATTTAATTCTGTAAGCTTAAAAAAGAAAAAACACATACCATACAATTCATAATAAATTTTTATAACTCCATATTTAAAATTTTATGAGCAAAATTTGCATGATAACTAACTGAAACAAAAAAAAATAATTAAAAACAATTACAAGTACCCCTAAATAAATTGAAAACACTGAATTCATTATAATTATCTGACCTCAACTTAAATAAAAAAAAAAAAAAAAAAAAATAAAAAAATTACCAAGAAATTTTAATTATTTGGAATGACCATTATGAAAACAAAGAGTCAAAAGCATTTCACTTAAATTAACAAATACAAGATTACATTTAAAATGTCTTATAAAAAGTTGCACAAAAATTATTAAAATAACTAATTTCATTCTTTTGGTTCCATAAAATATTCAATACTTCTCACATTTATTAATATAAGATTAAATACTTAACTTGAAAATCAAACCTATAGGTATTAAGAAGTTTTGTAAATAATCCACTGAATCAAATAAATATTGTTGCAGCTCATCCTGATGAAGATTATTTCAAATTATGAAATTAGAACTTAATTCTTTTAAGTAGCAATTACAAAAAATGCCTACTTTCTACCTTCACTATACATATAATAATTCTAAAAATGCTGTATGCTTGGGCTTGGATTTTACATAATTTTAATTTTGCCAAAAATCTATTTAATAAAGAATTATTTGACCAATGAGTACATTTAATTCTGTAAGCTTAAAAAAGAAGAAAACACATACCATGCAACACATAATGAATTTTTATGAATCCATATTTAAAATTTTACAAGCAAAATTTGCATATAACTAACCAAAACAGAAAAAATAATTAAAAACAATTAAAAGTACCCCTAAATAAATTGAAAACACTGAAATACATTACAATTATCTGACCTCAACTTTAAAGGAAGAAGAAAAAAAAAAAAAAAAAAGAGAAATTTTAATTATTTGGAATGACCATTATGAAAAAAGAGCAAAGTTTGCAACCAAAAGCCAAAAGCATTACACTTAAATTAACAAATACAAGATTACATTTAAAAAGTCTTACAAAAGTTGCACGTAAATTACTAAAATAACTAATTTCATTCTTTTTGTTCATAAAATATTCAATACTTCTCACATTTATTAATATAAGATTAAATACTTAACTTGAAAATCAAACCTATAGGTATTAAGAAGTTTTGTAAATAATCCACTGAATCAAATAAATATTGTTGCTGCAGCTCATCCTGATGAAGATTGTTTCAAATTATGAAATTAGAAATTAATTCTTTTAAATAGCAATTGCAAGAAATGCCTATTTTCCACCTTCACTATACATATAATAATTCTAAAAATGCTGTATGCTTGGATTTTACATAATTTTAATTTTGCCAAAAATCAACAGTCAATATTTCGACTAATAACCGTCAATTTTGTTGTGCACAGCATTCTTTGAGCATAACATGACAGGCGATCCAAACCATCAATTTTGTTGCACAGTATTCTTTGAGCATAACATGACAGGTGATCCACTATTATTGACGAGTTATTTCTTAGATAGCGCTATTGTTAAGCATATTGAAATAATAACATAAACAACTGTAGATACCTGTTTGTTCAAATTTTGTCGGCACTGCACAGGAATGTAAATATCGCATCTTTGGTGAACAGTAATCGTGATCTTTGAAAGTGTGACGAACATATTAGTGCAGTTTTTATACAAATCAGTTGGTGATTTATTTAACAAGTCTTGACAGGCGATCCAAACCATCAATTTTGTTGCACAGTATTCTTTGAGCATAACATGACAGGTGATCCACTATTATTGATGAGTTATTTCTTAGATGGCACTATTGTTAAGCATATTGAAATAATAACAGTAAACACTGTAGATACCTGTTTGTTCAAATTTTGTCGGCACTGCACAGGAATGTAAATATCGCATCTTTGGTGAACAGTAATCGTGATCTTTGAAGTGTGACGAACATATTAGTGCAGTTTTATACAAATTCAGTTGGTGATTTATTTAACAAGTCTTGATTACTGCATGCGGGCAGCCCATTGTTTTGATCTATAAAAATGAAAACATTAATTTTTATATTTTAAATTTCAATAAATCCATTTTCAGTGTTAGTAGAAAAATAGCAAACTAAAAACATTCCTTATACATTAGTTACACAATCTCGAGAAGGGTTATATATTTTTTAAGAACAAACATTAAATTATAATTTAAGGAAAAATTCATGTACATAATATGATTTATTACATTTCTGACATATTTATACTAATTCTCTATTATTTTGATCTATGAAAACAAAAAACAATTTTATTTTCTTTAATTAAAAGAACCTCTTTTCAGTGTTATTAGAAATTTAACCTTGTTAAAAAATTCCTTTTACATTAGTAACAAATTCTGAAACGATTGCATTTCATCTAATTTTATTTTGATGTACGAAAACCAATAATTTTGCAGATATTGTGTTAAATTTGTAGTTACCGGTCATAGTATCTAGTTAAACAATTTAGCATTTCTTTGTACAGTTTTGTTAACACAATATGATTAAAAAAGGATAAGGCACCAATAAAAAGTACACATTGTTCGTAAAGTGCATCTTTAAAATGTTTCCTTCCTTATTCACACTAATATGTAGTGGTTCCCTAAAGTGTTCGTACACTTATGTTTCAGTGAAATAGTGCTGTGAGAATTTTTTAATATCTATAAATTTATCTTAGCAAAACTCTATAAAAGTATTATAAGAATACAGTAAAACTTTTGGGGGGGGAATTAATAATTAAAAAGTAACAAAAAAGTTACCTCACGAAAATCTTCGTGCACTTTAAAGAAATCTGCAGACCCTATTACGAAATATTGCAGTTAAATTTCTGTCAGTTTTTGTAGGATATCCTGCAGCATTCAAGCTTGTAATACATAAATTACAAAAATTTTCTTCTAAAATATTAGAAGAAAAAAATTTTAAAAAATTTGGTTTTTTTTTCAAAATCACTTCGAGATATGAGAAAATATTGGGCTTTATAATCAAATTCAATTCCGGGCTACAGCGCATTTTTTACAAATTCTTAAAGTGTATGAACACTTTTGGGAGCAACTGTATCACAAGCACAGTTATCTTGAATATTTACAAAAGAACACTGAACTATTTGTCCTATGATGAGGAACACTTAATGGAAAAAAAACAAGCTATTTATTTAAATTATTCCAAATACATGAAATATTTGCTTCTCTATCAAAAATTGAGATATATATATATTATTAATAATCAAAGCTTAGTTTCTTTTAAACTTAGAAATGATTTACCTAATAGGATCCTTAGGAAATCTGAAGAATTTCCTGTCTGGTGTTTTTCGAGATGTTGTCCCACAAACACAACAGCAATACCAGGATTTGGGTTGTTTGCTAAGTAAAAGATAGATTGAGTTAGTCTGTTATTCACCACACCACATCAAATATTGAGAGAAATCAAAATTATATTTTTATAATAATGAATATAAAATTTTCAAAAATAATCATAAAATACGAAAAATTGTATATAACTATCAATATACTAACATTAAAAATAGTCTTCAGTGGCCACTAATATTAAATAAGTTTATAAATTTTTCTCAGATAAATTATTTGGTAATCTATAGCATAAATTTAAAGCTGAAGCATAATACAATTTATTAATAAAATTAATTTATGCAATCATACATGCCATTAGCTGCCGCATTATTATAAATGGCAAATTTATTCCTGATCGCTCGTTTTGTCGTAATATTATTATTAGTTGACTTTAAAGCTTAAAACTCATTTAAAAAATTTGGAAAGAAATACCAATATGCCTGCAAAAACTATAGTATTTGTTTGCCATATGATTAATTATATAAATTGAGATTCATATGCTAAAATGCAAAGTTAATATATTAAGAATGAAAATCTAGCTGCTGTGTTATACAATGAGACAAAATATTTTTGGAGCTTGGGAATCAAAATTAATGTACTATACAAAATCAATTTTTAAAATCTATGATAGGTTTTCGAATTAAAAAAGCAAGCTTACCTCACAGAAAGAGAATCGGGTGAATTCCGGTGATCGTCCTTGCGAAACATCCATCTTATGATCAGCTTAAATAACCAGAGAAAAGAACTGAAAAAAACTTTCAATGAACCTCTTCGAACAACGTGGTAAAAGATTGCTAATATGGCTGACGACATGCCGGTTTCTTGCCTGCTATTTCGCACATGCGCAGAAAGGTACGGAGGGTGGATGGATTGCCCCTTTGAAATAAGCTTCAGGGACATACACAGTGTCTCTTCAGTCTGACGGAGCCACATTTGCCTCGGGAAACCTTTACTTCTTCTCCTTACAGATTCTTTGGCGTGGTCTTCACAGGTCGACTGTCCAAACCGGCTCTTTTACAGTTAAGCTGTTTATCTCCGAGATTCTGGTTACGGAGTGTCCGAGATAGTGCGGGTGCTCGTCATGTTGTCGGCGGCAATTCCTGTCTTGCGGCCTATTATTTTCGATTTCGTCGCTGGTGTTTTTTTTCCCATTTGTAGAAGAGTCTGAACTGCTGGCTCGTGCTGGAGTTCCTGTTTTGCTTTAGAAAATATGAAAAGAGGGAAGTCGTCATCTCCTGAGGTCTGTTGTCTCCAGTTTCGACTTCCTTCTCTTATCTTCAGTGGAACTTCGAAATTTTAGGGAAGTTGATTTGTTTGAGTTAAAATGCTGCTTGACGGAGGTTAGTGCTGGAACTATGAAAAAAGTCCGGTTCCTGAAAACGATGAAGATTTGGTAGTTATTGTTTCGGCGATTTGTGACTGGATCCGGGCAGCTCCCACAATCTGTGTACGCGGATTTCGTGAGTGACTTTATATTTTCATTGGTGCTTTTCTTTTGATAATTAATCTTTTTAAATTTGGAAATGTTTAATACTAAAGCAAGACCTGTCATGTTTAAGTAGATGAAAATTGAATATTTACTGTTACTAAATTTCTAGCTGAGAAGGTAATTTTTTTATTTAATGTTTAATAGTCAGAAGTTAATTGAACTAATTGGAGGAAGTGAATCTTTGTTTAAATGTTTAAGTGCTATATTCAATATGATTTATTTCTAATTAGCTTTTTAAATGAGTTTAATCTTCTTGAGTTCCTGTTTTAAAATGATTAAGAACTGTATGTTTTCACTATGATTTTTGTATTAATGAAAATATGTTTAATATGAGACTGATATGGGAAAAAAACTATGATAACTTTTAAAAAGATTTTTGTAGGGGTAGTCTGGCCAGCTATCTTAAATTATAATGTGTGGGAATTTTCAATAAATGTGTTTATTATTTTTAATATTGTATGTTTCTTTTGTGTATTAATTGTGGTCTACTGTAGGTCACCCGTGTGATCCTTACGGAAACATGGTTATTTTATTTGAACCTGGGTACTCATATTGCGGTAGTAGGAAAAGGAAAATATCAATTTAAGTTTTGGTGACTATACGATCGGTTTACTTAATTTATTTTGATTTATGCGTTTTCAAGTTGGAGACCTAAATTAGTTTTAATTTAGTGAGAAATAGCGTGTTAAAGATTTTGTTTTGGAAGTGCATTTTCGAATTTTGTTTTGTCAAAAAATCGTGATTCTACCGAAACACCAGGGAGGATATCTTTCTTTGATGTCTCTTAGATTTAAAAGTTTTGATTATGTAAGTACTGAGTTTAGTTTTAGATTAGATTAGTTTTTTTTTTTTTTTTTGTCGCGGCACCAGTTTAGTCAGTAAAGAGTTAAAAAGTTAAATGTAAAAGTAATTTTTTTTCTACGTAACAATAATACATCTCATAAGGTGAAAAACATGGGTCATAATAATCTGGCAAGTACATGTAGAAGTTAGGCCGACACCTCTGTAGTACCACAGGGATTGAGGTGTCTAGCTAACTGCTAAACTTCCATCGTAATTTTAAGAAAGAACGTCATGGGAAGGCGCGGTCCGAGGGTATCTCCTGCCACCAACATCTCGGGCCACTTTCAGCTCGCTGTGTATTTTGAATGCCCGCTTGCCTCACAGACGCTGTACGCTTACAGACTTCTATACATTTTAGCGAATTTTAATCCGGGCCCATTGGCATGGCAGTCAACGTGAGTAACCACTTCGTAGCTGACATCTTCTGGGTTGGAAACCAGTTCTGCAGATATATAGAAAATATAGCTGGGTCGGAAGCCAATTCAGATTTTATTTCATTAACATATTTTTGTTCACTATGTATAGTTCATGTGGTCTCTCAGGTGACGAAATCGTCACAGGTTTCGACATGCGATTTATCTCAATGCAACAAGTGGTTGACTTTCGATCATTGTGAGGCGGTACCTCGATTGTAAACAATATACGGCGCTTTTCCTGAACAGTGTCAGCTCAAGTTAAAAATATCTTTATGAATTATTAGTTTTACCCGCGGCTTCGCTCACGTTGATGTCCTTAAATAAGTTTCAACTCCGCGTGAATTTTAAAAATACACTTCGCGTAAAATGTAAAAATAAAGAACATTCGAGCGTCTTAAAATGACAAAACAAATTTTTTTATCGCACACAGTAAAAGGTAAAGAATATAAAATGTAAATGCAATTTTTCAAGTAACAGTAACAGAAATATATAACACGAAAGAATTCATCTTTAAAAAAATTCGAAACAAAACATTAAATATATCACAAATGTCAAAACGTTGATAATAGTTTCAAGTCGGCAAGTTATTAATTTTAAAATGATTTTCCACGTGTAATTCCGTGAACTTTGACCTTTTCGCCAAACCAAAGGACGACCAGCTTCCCCCCCCCCCCCCCGTCGCTTTCAAATCTCAGCCTTTCAACAAAGAGTTAACAATAGTAAGCGGAGTATTGTTTCAACTGTGATTAAGCTGGAAGTAATTAAGCGACCAAAACAGTTACACCACTATTGTTCCTATCATTCAGAGAGCGACATGAGTTTCTAAATTTCTAGAAATTTAGATCAAAAATTATAATTTTGATCACCAATTTATTGGACCCATATGGGAAGGCCTAAGAAAAAAATTTTAATGTCGTTATTGAGTCGCATTCAAATTTAGCGTTTTCAGAGTTTTTAATTAATATCTCAGCTGATTAAAGTCGTGCGAAGATGAGAATAGTATCGATGGATTACGAAGAATTTTTAGAATCAGGGGATATGTGTCTCGAAATTTAACCAACTGCCGTTTCATAGTTATTTGTGAAAATATAAATTGGCGCGTAGCCGAATCCCTTTATTAGGTAAAAACCCAACAAAGTAAAAATGTAGGGGAAAAGTAGTTTTCAATTAATATCTCGGCTAATTAAAGTCATACGAAGACATTTTATAGCCTTTTCTAATATATCAAAAATATTTCTTGAAAATTTCATGATGATCTGTTAAGTAATTGAGGCGTGAAAGCGTAACACACAAACAAACTCACATTCTCATTTACGAGTATAATATTAGTAAGGATAACTAAATTAGTCAAATTTATTTTCTGAATATCTATTTTGTTAATAATGTGTGGTGATATTTTGTGCTTATGCTGAAATTAAGTCTTAAAATAGTTCATAATAATTATTGTAGCATTTAATCTTGCAATATGTGGTACAAATATTAGTTTTAAAATTCAACTTGTTAAATTCAGTATTGTGAACATATAAGGCAGTATTTCATGCTCTTATAATTAAATTATTTTCACTCACCTCTTTTCAATTCACTCTCATTTACTTACATCAAAATTTGCTAATCATAAAGATACATATGTTTGTTGAGACTAAACTAATTTAATTATGTTTTAATTACTGCATCAGAATTCCTCATTTTTTAAATAAAGCTTTTCAAATCATATGATATTAATATATATATAAGTCTAATAAACCATTATACTAGATAATACAGTTATTTTCCTAAGTATATAACGAAATTTCATACGTGTAAAAATAACAGAGTAATTAAACAATACTTTATAATCTGATTTACTTAGTACCGTTAACTTGTCTGATAATTTTATAAATATGTTACTAATAATGGTTATACACTATTATGCTTAAAATAAAATTAATTAATATGATCCAGAATGCATTATTAATTCATTTATATTAAATTTAGTCCAATATATAGATTAATGCAAACCGACTTTAAATCAGATTATATAGCTATTTTATGTCACCGAGTAAGAGTACATATAACACACACTTGAAGCTGAACTAAAAGGAAATAAAAGAAAGTGTACAAAAAAAAAAAAAAAAAAAAAAAACTGCTATCTGAAGATCTCAGATCACAGTCCGAAACTTCAAAAAAAATTTAGGATTACAAATTTCAAAACATTCAAAAAATAAATTTTAAATACTTTAAAATGTAAAGTAATCATAAAAATTAAAGCAAGTTATAGTCCTATCCAGTTGCGATACACATAGGGAGAAAAGTATTTTTGTATTTTTATTGATGAAAAGAAATCTGGATATGTTCCTAAAATTCATCGGTAGGATATATTATAAATTAATTCATTTTATGCCACTTTGAAACATTACTCAAAAACTTGGAAAAAAATTTAGATAATTAAAAATGTGTTTTTCACATTTAATTTACTTAGTGATTTAATGGATAACATATTGTTGAAATTCGATAGATAAATTAAAAATTTTATATTTCGCTCAATGAGAACACCTGGCGATTCCATGGAAGATAAATTAAAGAATTTTTGTTTCGTGCAGTGGCAACATGCTGCTTTTAAACTGCTATGTTTGTTAAATAGTAACAGACAAATAAAATCTGAAAGATTATTTAAATTGTAAAAATGCAACAATCTGAGATGTTTAGGGCAGCCTGGATAATAAAAGTCTTATGTTTCGCAGAAGGGCAACACTTATTAAAGTTTACTTCTGAAATATTTTCTATTCTTTTCATCCTCAAAATTTGCCGGAGCAGAATTTTACATTTAGATAAAAATAATGCACCTTCCTCCAGGACTGAAAAGAAAAAAAGAAAAGAATAAAAATTGCTGAATAAGTCTCGATCCATGCAAATAAAAGTAGATTTTAAGCTATGAAACCACTTACGAAGGTAAGATAAAAGAAATAAGCAAGCAGAAAGACATACTTAGATGGAGGTACAAAAATGCGTATAAAATATTGCTCATACCTGCCATGCACTTACATACCTGAAGAGCATATAAGTATATGAAATTTAATGGCAATTGCAGGCTGGGTTCGAATACAGACGCAATATTTATTTAGGCGTTGTTTTCCCCAAAACATTTTATTCTCCATTACACATTTTAATTAGTCTTTGGATAATATGATTATGTTAATTTTTTTACAAAAACAGAGACAGAAAAATAGGACCGAAACAATGATGAATTCCCATGCAATAAAATCACATTTAATTTTTCATTCACATTCTATGAAGGAATTCCTTTATATATTAACAACTGCTCTAGAAGAAGCCCATAAAGAAGACTCCTGTCAATCTTTCAGGAAATGGCTACAACCCTTCCTTAAGGTGTAAACTCCGGATATGCTTTCATAATAAAGCTTATTTGAAAGGAAGGTAAATATTCTTGATGTTTTCTTCTGTTACAGGCCCCCACCCATCAACTTGTCCCAAGAGAGCGTTCCTTATGTCAACATGGTTGTCAGGGAAAAGGGATTGCGGTTAGACACAAGCGCGATAGTGCATCCGGGTTCTCTGCTGGATCTACTTATTTATTTGGATAAGGAATCCTCAGGTATGTGAAATAATTTTAACGTTTTTGCATATTTTTAAAGTTGTCTGATTAATTTTTAATTTGATGCTTGATAAAGCGGATAGACAGTTATTAAAGTAAGACTTTCAAGAAATTTGGTGAATGCTTAGGTATTCCATAGTTTAAAGAGCATTATATAAACGATGTAATATTCTTCTCAAAAACAAACAAATGAGAATTTTTAAGATTCAGCGAATTTAACTATTCATTTAAGGTACCTTAGAAAACAGTTTTTTGAAACAGAATTTTTAGAGAAAAATCTTCTGTACTGCGTTTTTCACGTGAGTTTTGAACGATATTACGAGTTATTACGAGTTTTTGAATATAGATATTTGAAAGATTATCATATATATGTATGTGGAGGGAAAGATGAACTGACCATTTGTATTATATATAACAGCATTAACAACTGACTAAGCCTTTTTTCCCTCAAACTTTTCAATTCTGCTTAAGAATGTCTTTGGTGTTTAGAAAGGTCCAAGAATAAACATGCATTCATTTCATCTATCGATGTGCAAAAGTTTAAGCTGAAAGCCCGCACACTAGATTTTACCTATCTAGATTTCTGTCTAGGAAAAATTGGTACTAAACAAAACAAGTGCCACAAATAAGTTCTTTTGCGAAAAACGTAAACTTTGTAAATCGTTAAGCTATAATTCCGAACGAAAGCTATGAAATACTTCCGCATTCCTTTCAAAAGTAAGGTTTGCTTAGTTACCTGTTTATGACTAATCATATGCTTATTCTTTCGTTTTGGTAGGTGACTTTGTATGTGAGACAACGTTCTTATAACAGTAGCGTTTTAATATGTACGAAAGGCCTAGATTTGCCCAGATGTGCTAGATTGCTTAGATAGAACATAGCTTATATTAGAAAATAGAATGAATGTAAAAATTTGCGCACAAAAATCTAAAAACAATTATTGTAAAAATTGTTAATCTTGCCATAATTCTCTAAGACCAGATTAAAATATTTTGACATATAAATGTAATTTTATTTTATTTTATCCGACTAAGAATTTCTCAGTAAATAAAGAGCGTGCAGTCATTTCTAGCTTTGACTCTTTGTGATTCTACATCTAAATTGTCCCGGTGAAAATAATTTAATTTGCTATATACACGCAATGATTATCAAAAGAAATGACTAATTCTTATTTTCCTTATTTTATCATTTAAACATGTTTATTTAACATTGAATTTATTTAAAAAATTTTTTTAGCTTTCTATAAAAAATAAAGATTCAAAATACGAAATCAGGATTTTTGCGAGAATATCGAGGTCTAATAAAAGCATTTGAAAAATTTAACAAATATTAGCTTTTTCAGTTCAGAACCATTTTATTGTTTTTAATAATTCCATAATTATAAAAAGGCAAAAATAGAATAAAAATATCAGTAGATTTCAATATGTGATTGTTTCCTTTTATTTTGGGGAGAGTGACACGTAAACGAACGTTTTGTGTTGTTCTTAAGTACTAAGCTAAATTCCTAAGCCAAGTTTAGTACATTTTTGAAGATTTTATAAGGGCTAATTAAGCTCTAATTTAAAATATTTCCAGTAGGAAAAATGATATTGATTTCTTGTATTAGGACACACACGAATCCTTTGCAGGCAACAGTACTTGAAGAATTGTTCAGGTAACTTTGACAACTATTCCTATCCACTTTATATTCTCTCCAACACATTTTAAAGCAAAAGAATAAAACTCTACATAATTATATATTTTTCCTGAGGTCTCTCAGAGTTTCGGATTTTCTTAGACAGAACTATTTGCTCCTGCGAAGCATCTGTTTCTGACGCTGGATTTGAAAAGTTTAGGTCAGTTAAGACGGATAATATATATGCAAATTAAGTTAAAAACAAATTTCTTATTTCAAGTTTTCACGTATCGATGCTGTTTCTTCACAAGTTTTCAGAATAAATTGCAGCAACTTTCTGAAATTCTGCATTTGCAGAAAGTCTAAAATTCTAATTACGTCTAAAATGCGCCATTAGTCTATCGAAAACTTCAGCTTTATAACTGCTGGATTTTGCGGTACCACTCATTATTTATCACATAAATCTGTTTAGCTCACAAATTCCAGATTTTAAAATATACATAAAAAAGATAAAGGTATTTATGAGTTTAAACTTAATAACATATAGGAAATACATCATCATCATAACATCATTTACAATGTAAAACATCATTTACAAAGTTAAATTCATTTGTCGAAGTAAGGAAGATTAATAATTTATAATACAATATTTACGTTTATTTCAAGCATATGGTTGTAACAGCGGTTTTCAACTTTTATTTGCCCCCATGAGCCCCTTTCACCATTCCTCGAAGGTCATTCCCATCCTTCTTTCCAAAACGTGAAAAGTACATGCAACACTCGCCGCTTCTTAAGCTCACTGTTTAATAAACTCAGCCCCTTGTTGCATTCAAATTTACATGAACCAAAACAAATATATATCAACCAATAAAAAAACGCAGTTTATTAAACTCATCTTCACCGCTTATAATACTGGCAAAAGATTGGATTTTTAGATCCGGAATTCATATTTGTGGCTGATAAAAGCAGTTCATATTTCATTCATTTCCCGTTATGTAATGCTTCGGCAAAACGAGTTCAGCGGAAATTTTGTGCCAGTGACTTCTTGGAAGTGTTGGGTACCTTTTCCTAGTCTATGTCATATGCTGTTTGTAAATCTCTGTGTCCGGACAACAGCTGAGAAAAGTCAAAATACCTTTATCTTATGATTAATAAAAGCAGTCCTATAGAGGCATTGGAAGCACGTTCTATGTAAATGCGTCATTGCTTCCCAATTAAAGAAAGGGGGTGCTTAAGTGAGCACTGGTTTTCCTTGCTTGGACACCAGCTGATAAGGAATGGAAGTGCATACACTCATTAAGTTTGCAGAGTGTAACGCTTCCTTGCATTATCGTGCATTATCATTGATTATCATTGATTGGTTTAGAAAAATCTTTAACTGAATTTTATTAGTTAAAAAAAAGAAAAGAAAGCATTTATTACGCTTATAATAACGATGAAGAGATACGTCTACTTAACAAGACAAAATGCAATCTTCCTGCTGGCTAGAAACGGGAATTTTGGATTTGAACAAATCACTGGAAGAAACAATTTTTTATTTGCTTTGTGCGCGACTTGAACGATGTCAAAAATATCTAAATTAAATAACTGAAGCTTCAAAGAAAAGGATAAACTGGTGTACGATTATGATACGTTTGATAAACGCAACCAAAGCATTTAAAAGCAGCATTTGAAATAATAATTTCCTAAACAGCATTGCACAGTTTACTTAAATAAAGAAATAACGTTGATAATTAACTAGTAAAAAATGCAAAAAGTCTGAAGCACAAATGGTGAGACGCTGAAACCGCTCTTCTAGCATGGTTTCAAGCTATAAGACTAAAACATGTTCCAGTTTCTTGAGCTCTTTTGACAACAAAAACTATAAAATATGCTAAAGTGATAGGACATTGTGATGAAAGTGACTATGCTAGATGACTATGATTAAGCTGTAGGCTTACAGTATAAAAGAGAGCAATAACACTGTTTATCGGAAACTACATTGTGAGAATCAAGGTGCATATGATCATTCGGATGAAAACTGGATAAAAGAAGCCTTATCTTTGCTTTTAAAAGAATACAAGACACAGGAAATTTATAAAATACAAACGGGTCTGTTTTACAGTAGCGCATTTTAATGTTTAAATCGGAAACACCAGTTGCTTTTAAAAAATTAAAAGAACGAAATACGGTGCTGTTAATGGGCAGTACGGATGTAACGAGTAAAACGATGCCATTGATTTCTCGAAAAATCAAAAATCGATGTATAAAAAGAAATAAGAATTTACCTTTACCTTAGCTTAATAAAAGAACTCATGGATGAAAAGTAGTATTTTTACTAATTGTCTTTTGAAATGGGGCAGAGGACTAAAAAACAAAAATTACTTTTAGATAACTGTGCTGCAAACCCTTCTACTATTGTTCTGAAAGCATTAAAATAGTGTTTTTTCCAGCATGTATGACTTATATCATTCAGACTTTAGACTAAGGCATTATGGAAGCATTCAAAATTTCCTTTGCAGAAAAGGTGTAGTTCAAAAAATATAAAAATTGAATCTTGTGTAAACGCAAGCACTTTGAAGGAGTCGTCGATATTATTGCTGGGGGCTAAGCATATTACAGTAGTCAACGCATGGAGAGCAGTCTCCTGAAACACAATTAAAAATAGCTTTATAAAATGTGATTTTAATTTAGAAGAAGCCACAGAAGAATTGCAAGATATTTTTACCATTTCGGACATAAATGAGGGAAATTGTGAAGATTTGTTTTTAGAATACATTGCTGTTGATAATAGCATTGAGACAACATGTGAAAACCAGAATACGATATTATAGAACGGGTTAAAAGAGCTGCAGAAACTGCAGTTGTCAGTGAAAGAGATACGGAAGAAAGTGACTACATGACAATTTCAGCGGAATTGAGAAAAACCACTGCAAACTCTAAGAAGAAATCTTGAATTGAAAGAATGAGGTCAGAAAAACTTCCAGTTTCAAATTTGAGAACGCAGCTGAAAGACTGTTCACAAAAAATACAAAATAATGTGAATAGTTCAATTCTTTGGAAAAGTTTAAATTTTCATCAGGTGTGCGTTTATAAAATTCTTTCATAAAAAAATAAATACATTTCCAAGATTTGCAAATAGATTTTGGCATTTATTCCTAATTAATAATTTAGGTATTAATTAATAGATTATTTGTTAATTACTAGCTTACTAAATGGTCTGGTTTGGTTGGTTTATGTGATTACAGCAAAGCCTCGAAAGCTGTCTGCCTAAGGGAAGGGAGTCTTCGTGGAGGAAGTTCTTAAGAAAACTGGCTTGTATACAAGTCACGCGCGGGAAAAACCACGAAAGCGTTCATGTAACCAGCCCGTTCACGACATTTGAACCTCGGACTGAACTACTGGT